AACACCTTATAATCTGGACCATCAAAGAGACGAAACCCATACGGTCAGTTTAAATATACATTAACACAATCAGTTTACACTAAACCCACACAGTTTAAATATACATTAACACAATCAGTTTACACCAAACCCATACGGTCAGTTTAAATATACATTACCACAATCAGTTTACACCAAACCCACACAGTTTAAATATACATTAACACAATCAGTTTACAACAAACCCACACAGTCAATTCAGCAGTACAGCCCAGCCTAACATGAATGTACTAATGTTACAATTAATAAAAACTGTCCAAATCCCTAGTATAAAGTCTACCATAACAGATAAGTTAAAGATAATTAGTTAGTTTGTGTGTATATTTTAAAGTTTTCTAGGAATGTTCAGTTGAATTAAATTTGTTTGCAAGCTTGTATACTACAACATTACCTTTGGAAAATTATCATGTTGAAAATACCACTTATAGACAATTATTTACTATGTGATAAATTATTAAACAACAGAAACATATTAATAACTTCTTACAAATTAAGGCTTCAGTATTAAAAAATGACCACTTTATCCCAGCTAACTCATGACGGAAATAGTACTTAAATAACCATTGAAACTAGTGCTACGTACAAGACATACATCTAGCAGTCGATTAAACATATTACCTGGGAAGGAGGAGGAATCTTCGATATTAATAGTTTCATACGGAACTTCTAAAACATCATTTACACACCCATACAACATTAACAGTGAGGACTGTTGGGATTGAAGTGATTACCGTTATTTATATGTTTTTAATGATATCTTAAAGTGAATAAAAATCAGTTCTATACATTATTTGTGTATTGAATTATTTAAACAAAAACTTAAGATTACTTGCTGTAAAGTTTGGTAACAGAAAAGAAATGTTTACAGTTTTCCTGTCAAGCAGATTATATCTCTAAACCATGTTCATCATTGAAGTCCTCTTCTTCTCTATTTGCCGATAACTGGAATAAATTTTCATTTATCCTTTAAGAACAATTTAAAGTTAATTATGGTACTAGTTGAGCCATTACAATAATATCTGTAGTTATCTTAAAGAAATGTAAGGCACCTCTGGAAATTGTTTTTTGTGGAGATGTGCCACATTATATGATGTTGTCATCAGTACCTTAATGTTTCGAGACCGTGAATTAAAATACAAGGAACTGATACTCTTACTGTGTAGTGACTAACTTTATAATAGTATAGTGTATCTACTAAAACACTGAATTTTGTTTTTGTTAAAAATATAAATTAATGAGATTCATTAATTCTGAAACACAAGTTCATGCTTTTTCCTTCTTTCAAAAAACAAAAATTAGTTCTCAAATAAAACACTTGAAATTTAAATAAAAGAAATTAATAATGAGATGCAGGAAATTAAATTGATGCAAGATAGATTTTGTAGAAAAACTTGGAAATGTTTATATGAATTAGATGCAGAGGTCAAGTACAAAAAATTAAACCAATTTTGGAGACACACCATGTAGTTAGTCTGTGTCACCATATCCAGTCACACACTATCTGTTGATCGTGCATCTTGACAATAGCTCTGCAGCGTGGTTTACACTGCAAAAGAATCTGTTATAAGACCGTCATATTTAATGTACCACTCCTCCTTACCCGTCTTCCAACGCTCCACCTAGTGTATGAAGAAAGTGGTTTCCCAACAGCTACATCCAGTGTCTTCACTAGTGTGACTTCGTATGGAACAACACAACTCGAAGCTTTATCTTGGTAAAACTATACCCTGTTGGTGTCATCTTCATATGAACATTGTTGCATGGGGAACGGGTATGAGTTATTGGACGTCTCTTTGATGGTCCAGCTTATAAGGTGTTACACTTTACTTACCGTAGCTGGGGTATGAGTTATTGGAGGTGTAAACTGATTGTGTTAATGTATATTTAAACTGACCGTGTGGGTTT